GCATGAGTCAGGCACCAGCCCGACACTCCTCCGATCCTTGGAGGACATTCCTCTCCTCCCCTATGAGGGATAGATGCCCAGCACACTTCTCTCTCTTTCTCCTTCCCTCCACCTCCTTCTCCCTCCCTCCTCATCCTCTCTCTGTTATTAATTGCTGTGTAACAAACCAACCCAATACTGAGCGGCTTAAAAAAACAACTTTGAGTCTAAACATCAGCTGGAAGGTTGTGTATCTGCAGGCAGCTGGTCACTCAGCCGGGAGCAGCTGATCTAGGATGATCTTGGCGGAGATAACTTAACCGCGCTCCTCGTGGTCTCTCTCCTCCAGCAGGCCAGCCCGGATTAAAAAACGCTCCAGGAGGGTTAGATCTTTAAACAACCTGTTTCCTGCAGCGTCCTGGAGCCTAGAACAGCAGCTGGCACGGAGGAGGAGCCAAGTGTTTGCTGAATGCATATGTGGGTGTGGGATCGTCAGTGGAGCCGGGGTTTGAACCCCGGGAGAAGAGGGACCGGCCCAGGGGGACTGTGCTGAGCACACGGCACTGAGGCCTGCGTGAGCCGTGGCCCACAGCCACACTGGAGGCCGTATTGCTGACGGCAGGAGCAAGCCGAGGGCCAAGAGGAGAACCAGGACAGCAGATGTCCTGGAAGCCAAGGGAAGAGGAATTTCGAGAAGTTTCATTTCTAAGATCCGTTATGTCTAAGATTTGGTGACTATGACTCATCATTTCTTGGATTCTATGATTCGAAACAGCCTTCCCTCATGGTGGGAGAAGTTGTTGATGCTCGGGGAGCCCCGCCCACCCACCGCTGCCTCCCCTGCTCAGGGCCTGAGGGCTCTGGATTGGCATGTGTCAGGGTCAAATGTTCCAGGAGCCGTTCCTGCTCTCGGTTCCTTTTCACGTGGTGAAAACTGATCCTCTGGTTTGAGGCTTTCCCCCAGTCGCTCTCCACCCCCAGCAAGCTGTTCTGCAAAGCTGGGAGGTTGTCACTGTTTCTTAGAGAATGAGGCTGCAGGGGAGACGCATGCTTCCCCTACAAGCAGCCTGGGAGATGCTCTGCGAGTGAGCCGCTGTGTGGCTCTGGGCAGGCTGGTCCCACTCTCTGCCCGGTGGTTTTCAAGCTCCCTTCTAGTTCTGTGGTTAGGAAACTCAAAGGCCTCCAGGCCCCTGCGGAGGCTGCAGAGCATGAGCAGAGGCCTCTGGAGGCGGGTCCTGGGGGCTGAGGTGAGGAGGACAGTGCAGCCCAACCTTGAAGACATGACTCCAGGCTGAGGGTGGGCTTTAGAAACAAGAAGCTGGGAAGTTGGGGAAGGACGGATTGGAGCAGGGTGGCGTGGACAGGAAGTAACTGAAGGCATGGGGATGCCCTGGGAGGGGTGCAGTCAATTCCATTCCATTCAGCCCATCTTTATTAAGTGCCTGCCCTGGGAAAGACACCGTGCTGAGAGCTGGGGGTGGGATGGGGCATTTACAAGTCCCTGCATCAGGCCATCACCATCTCAGGACAGACAGACAAGAAGGGCGCACTGGACAGCCACTCTCTGAGACCCTTTCTAGCCCCGACGTCCAGAGAGGCTGTGTGTGCAGTGAGGACGCCACAGCAGGGGGGGCACCAGGGGCCCCCTCGCTCTCACTCTGGCCCAGAGCAGACGCCCACCATGTGTGGAAAACTGAACAAGAACACGATGACCAGGGCAGGGACCTGGGAACTGGGGGCAGGTGTGACAAATGAAAAGTCCAGAAGATGTGGGGGCCTCAAGGGTGGGAAGATATGTGTCTGTCTCTCAAAGATGACTCCAGAGGAACACAACCGGCTGTGTCCCTGGGTGACTCGCCAGGACATGCATTCATCTCCCAGGGCTCCGAGACGGACGCCTGCTCACAGGGCGGCCTCAGAGAGAGAGCCCAGGCAGTACCCTAATCAGCACCCCCGCCCCAATCTTATTAAAACACCAGAGAGATTAAGTAACGATTTGGCTCTATTTGCATCTCCCTGTTACCCGCTCAGGGATTGGATGGAGCTCCCAGGAGCTGTGCTTGGAAAGGAACAAGTCCCACCTTTGGGGTGGGTTGGGGACATGGGGTTAGGGGGAGCTTGAAACTGGCACCATGGGAACTTCTAAACAGTAAGTGAGGAGAGGAGCCAAGAGATGAACTTGCCCCGAGAGATGTGCAGGCAGGTCCACGACAGAGTGTGTGTGTACTCGATGGCCACGGCCATTGATGCCTCCCAGGCCCGACATGTCTGCATTTTATGTAACTGCCTCCAGGAGCACGCCTCCTGGGACACACAGGAAGGCTTCCCATGGGTGTTCAAAAGCAAAACAAAAGTCGTACACTTTCCCATTTAATCATCAAAAGTAAGTTCTTTATTAAAATCTGCAGGATACGTTCATTGACAATCAGTGTGAGCACACGCATTAGTCAAGAACTGCTTGTGGCTGCTAGTGAAGAAAACCTTAAACCAGCAGAGGCTTGAGTAAGGTAAAGGCTTGCCCTTTCTCCCAAATTAGCAGCCCAGAGGTGGGCAGCGCATGCTCATCGGGTGTTCCCGCCACCTGTGTGCTTGCTTCACTGTGCTTAGCACTTGCCTTACAGCCTCAGTGTGTCTCATGGTCCAAGAAGGCTGCTGAAGCTCCGGCTGTCAGGTCCATGTCCCAGGCAGAGGGAAGAAAGCTGGAGGAAGGCACCCAAAGGTCCTGGCTGAGTGGGCACCTTTTCAAGAGTTTTGCAGAGAACGCCTCCTAGTGACTCCCGCTTGCATCTCATTGGCCACGCCTTTAGCAAGAGAGGCTGGGAACCAGGGTGGGATGGCAGGGCCCCGTGGGTCCCCACATCCCAGGGCTTCTGTGAGTAAGCCAGGAGAGAGACGGAGACTGGTTAGGCAACTAGCCAGCCCTGCCACAGCACGCACGCGGACGTATTCTCACTTTAAAGGAGGTTGTTAAGAAACGTGCATGCTGGGTATGTTCCATTAGGTTTCTTACGGTCTTTCGGATGTGCTAGTTCCTACACAGGCTGAAGCAGCCTTCCCTCTAAGCTCCCTGAGGAACCAACCACCTCAGAAGTCACTGGAGCCTCCTGGAGCTGGACCCGGGAGAGCCTCTTGGACTGTTAGCGGTCAGCACAGCGGGGCATCCTCCGCCTGGTGGCGAGCACCGGGGCTGGTGGACCGTGGCGCTCGGGCGGGCTGTGTGCCCGGGGCGTACTCGGGTCCGCTTGCTGTCAAAAGCCCTTGCAGGCAGCTACGATGGCAGGAATTCTGACGGCAGGAATCTGCTCATAATTCATTGGGAAAAATCCTGCCTCGAGCTTCTGAGAGCTCAGTTCCTGGCTCTGCCTCTTCTCTCCCTTGTGATGAAGCTGAACTCGGAGGGAACAGCCACGACCATCCTCTCGGTTTCTGCCTCGGTAGCTCATTCTAAGCCCTTTCCCTCTGGCCATGTGCTCACACTGAACCTGCGTTTCAGGAGCAATGGAAACAAAAAAATGGTAGTTTCTGCTTTCCAACAGTGGCTGCTGGGGTGTAACGTTAAGAAATAATCACACTCGTATTTACATCTATAACTCCATTTACGTGTGAGCTGAGTTTTGGAGGAGTAGAGATTTGCTGAGAAGATGGAGTGCGGGTTGCAGGCTTGATCCTCAGTGGGGGGGCATGCAGGAGGCAGCCGATCCATGATTCTCTCTCATCATTGATGTTTCTATCTTTCTCTCCCTCTCTCTCCCTCTCTGGAATCAATAAATAATATATTTTAAAGAAAGAAAAAGAAGATTGAGTGGGAGGGGCGACCCAGGTGGAGGAGGCGGTGAATGTGAGTGTGAGTATGAGTGTGTGAGTGTGAGTGTGAGGCACCGGCCTGTTCCAGGAAGGGCAGGCATGTGAACAAGGATCTTGGCTAGATCTCTGGTTTAGAACAGATCCCGGAAGCAGCTTGTAAAGACAAAGATGTAATGCTGCTAAGCCCCTGGGTATGGATTGCTAATTGCTTCACAGCAAGGTTGCTGCCAGAACCCTGGGCGGTGCCCATGTCACCACACCTCTCAGCCTTGTTTATTGTCATTTTAAAAACTCTTTACCAGCTTTAATTTATTGATGAACCTGAACATTTTTTAAGAGCGTTTGAAGCTGCTTATGTTTCTTCTTTGGCGAAGTGAGCTGCCGATGAATGTTTCTGTGGCCCATCTATTTATGCAGCAGCAAATATTTACTGAGTGCTGGTTACTGCCAGGCAGTGTCCCAGGATCCGGGGACACTGCGATGAACAAAACACAGACCTCTGCCCTGCAGGGAGCCGACGTTCTGGGGAGAGGAGACAGTGAGCTCAGAGACAAGGATGGGCCTTGTAAAGGGTCTTTATAGATGTCAGAGGACCTCGCTTTGTCACATGGTTCCCCCAGTTTGTCGTTTGCTTTAGAATTTCATTCGTGCTGTCATCTGTCTTAGAGAGAGTCTTACTTTTATTAGCCTTTTCCTGTGGCATAACTTTAGGCTTTCAGAAAAGTTACAAAGATGGCCCAGAGTTCCCACCTGCCTTCAGCCAGCTTCCCTGACGTTAGCCACTCACATAACTGGCTCATTTGTCACAACTGGAATTAAATCAGTACAACTAGTAACTGAATCACAGGCCTTATTTGGATCTGACCAGTTTTTTCACTAATGCCCTTTCCTTCTGTCCCAGGACCCAATCCAGGAATACCGTATTGTACTTATGACATTCTTCATTTTAGTATAGCACCATCTGCTAATTTTTATTGCTCATTTTGTTTTTATGGAGTCCTTCCATATCCTGAGATATGGTGGCGTTTTTTAAATTATTGATTTCTTTAAACCATCTGCAAAGTGTAAGTCAGAATCGAATTTTTATTTTTCTGAATAGTTGGGTGTCTGTACAGCTCTCTATAATGAATTCTTTTCTTCACTGATTGCAAAGCAGCTTTTGTCAACGATAAAATACTGAGATGGCCCAGGGTCTGCTTCCAGCTACACGTTCCCCTATATTGATTTTTCTATTGACCGCTGTTTCTCAATATTTTGACAGTTATGTCTTTATAGTATGTTATCATATCTGGTAGGACAAGATATGAAAATAATATTACTAAGAGTAATGATCCCACTTATGAGCCAGGACCTGGGTTGGGCACCACAGATAAGATATGAATGACCAAGCGCCACCTTCAAGGAAGCCAGTCTGGGGGGAGGCGGACATGTGAGCCAGTGCGCCCTGTGTGCTAGAGAGCAGGTGACTCAGGGGAGGGGCTGCGGACTCAACCTGGAGCAGTCGGAGGCCTGGCCTATTGATGGGAGGAGGCGTTAGAGAAGCAGGAAGGGCATTTCAGGCAGAAGGAACGGTGTGAACAGAGGACTGGAGCTGAAAAGGATGCAGCGTTTAGAGGATGCAGCTGTGTTGGAGCTGAGTCCTGGGGGTGGCCGCATGGGAGGAGGTGAGCCTGCAGGGGAGGTGGGGCTGGGTCCTGAGGGCCTTGACTATGAGGGAGGCTCTCAGATGATCCCAAGGGCCTTCCTGTCCCAGGCT